GGCCTGTACAGGGACTGAAAATCTTGAATCAAACAACCTGCATTCAGATCCCAGCTCTGCCACCTACCTAAAACCCAAGCCTCCACTTTCTTTTCTGTAAAATGGGAATGATTTTCACCTCCATGAACTGTGAAGATTAAATGCGATTTGATGTGAAGAGATGCTCAGGGTAGCTATGAAGGTTTGCGGTGGTGGGGAGGTGGGAGAGAGGGGTTTAGGGAGTGGAGGAGAAGAGGGGAGGTCTTTAGGGCAGAAAGCTGCTGGAACCAGCCCTGCATTCTGTCTCCCCCACTTCAGCTCTCAAGCCCCTTCAGCTCCATGCACAAGAGCGTCATTTTCTTCCACCACATTCTGCTCACAGCTGAGCCTGCAGGAAGTTTAAGATTGTAATTAAAGTAACCAGGATCTCAAAACCCAACTCATTTCTCCCTCCTGCTGGGTGTCTCTGCTGGGGCGTCATTAAGACGTCAGAGGAAGAATCAAATACTAACTAGACTAGACACAGGGCTATCATTTTCCATTTTAATTTACAAGGACAAGGTTTGCCAAGAGCAAAAAGAAAAATCATGCTTTTCTTCCTTCATGTGGACAAGGGGTAAAATTTGCAACCAATTCCATGTATCAGGAGCACCCTCTGCTCTACTGTTCTTTACTGTCTCCCATCCAAACCACACTCATAAAATAGTTAGGTTGAAAACCTCCACCCACAAGCTCTCCAGCAGTTCGGGGATTTTCTGAGGCCACTCTCCTCAGAAGAAAAGTGAAGGAGGCCCTGGATTTTCCCTGATATGAGATTGTAGAGAGTCAGCCTGACCCCAGTAGGAATCTTGCTCTGAGACAGGAGAGTACAGTGGCTAAAACAGAGACTCTCAGCATTGGCTGGATATTAGAATCAGGGGAGAAGCTGTTAATAAAAACCCCCTGGCTGCACCCAGACCAATGAAGTCAGAATCTCTGGACATAGGATCCAGGCATCAGTATGTTTTAAAGCTCTTCAGGTGACTCTCCAGCCAAGGTTTAGAACCACTGAACTAAGAGCTTCGCTTTATAGCCAGATTGCCTGGGTTCAAACCCATTTCAGATGTCACTTCAAAAGTGTATGACTTTGGACGAGTCACTTACTGCTTTGTGCCTATTTTCTCATTCACAAAAGAATAATTTTGGACCACAATGGTCGGGATTAAAAGATAGTATAGGGCCGGCCCGGTGGCGCACTGCTACAGTGCGCCGCTTGGGAGCATGGTGGCGCTCCCGCCGAGGGTTCGGATCCCACGTACAGACCGGTTCCCGCTCACTGGCTGAGCGAGGTGCGGGCACAGCACCGAGGTTTGCGATCCCATTGCCGGTCCCCGGTCCGGTACGGGCACGACACTGAGGGTTGCGATCCGTTGCCGGTCACGAAAAAAGACAAAAAGGAAAAAAAAAAAAAAAGATAGTATAGAGAAGGCACTTTACAGGATGGTTGGGACACAATTCAAGCCAGAGAAATGTGAGTTGTGACTATGACAATATTTCTGAATAAAACAGCATGCATAACGGCTAGAATCCAATATAACTCAGAAGTTAAGGGTGCAGGCTCTGGAGTTGCCCTGCCTGGCAAGGCTGGGGCTAGGGTGAGGAGTTAGGCTCCTAGGTTGCAAAATGTCAGCAAGCGCTCACTCTCAGGAGCTTCAAGTGCAAGCTGCCTGGGTCTGGACCGGAACCGGAGCTCTGTGCAGTACTATCCGTGTGGTTGTGGGCTTGGCTGTCTCATCTGTAAAATGAAGCTGCCTCATGTGCGCAATGAAGTTAAGAGTTACAGAAACCTCATTAGGTTGGTGTGAGGCTTAAATTGAGATAATACATACAAAGAGGTTAGCAGAAAACCTGATACACATGGTAAGTGGTTAGCTGTTTATGTTGTAATGGTGAGAGGGACAGGGATGGTGCTGTTACTGACAGAAGATGCTTGCTTTAAGTAACAGCAGTGTTGGGGGGCTGTAGGGGTATTTGAGAATTTAATGACCACTATGGATTCTGATCTGGAAAAATTCCCAAACACAGAATTTTGTACATGCCTGATGGAAGTCCATAGGCATCACAGATGGAGGCAGGGGGATGTGCAGGAACAGGACCCTTAGCAAATTCTCTGTGATGGCTCATTGAGGGTAGTTCCTAGCTTCAGAGAACACTGATTTCCCTGAGCCCCAGAAGTGGCAGACTTTCCAGAGGTCACTTTTAACCAAACCAAATCTCCTTTGCCCTGCTGTACTCAAGGTGTCAGGGATGGAAACGGCCCTGGGATAGCCCCAGTCTCTGGATAATCAGCATTCATTCCCAGGATCTTTGTTTAAGGAATCCATAGCACTGAAAGAGAGTGATCCCAAAGTTTCGTTATTTGTAAATTTGTCTTTTTTTACACTTTAGACCTGTGCTGTCCAACGTAAGTAGCCACTGGCCACATGTGTCTATTTAAAGGTAAATGAATTAAAATTAAATAAAATTTAAAAATTCAGCTCCTCAGTCACACTGGCCACATTTTAATTGTTTGGTAACCACATGCGGCAAAATGACTACTGCATTGGACTGCACAGACATAGAACATTTCTATCATGGCAGAAGTTTTATTGGGAAACCTCGCCCTAGACCAGGAATCAGCAAACCACAGTTCTTGGGCCAAATCTGGGCTGTGACCTGTTTAGGTTTGGCTTGTGAGCTAAGAATGGTTTTGACCTTTTTAAAGTGTAAAATAAAACAAAGAAGAATATGCAACAGGGACACATGTGGCTGGCAAAGCCCAAAATATCTACTCCCTAGTCCTTTGCGGAAAAGTCTGGGGAACTCTTCCCTAAACTGTGTACCTTGAGGCTGGGGATTTATCTGTCCTGCCCCACGGCTTGTACCATGTGCTTCCTGTTTAACTGCTAACACTCACGTGGGAATTGCTAAAATGGGACCCACATCTGAGGGATAAGGACAATAGATACTACATTCTGAAGAAAAGACCATGCAAACATTTTAAATTAAGTGGCTAAAAACAAGTTGGCCAGCACCCTCCTCAAGGGCAGAAAAGGATGGAGTAGAGGTTGAGAGGATTCAAGGGAGCAATGAACTAATTAATGATGGTTAAGGATGAAAACCACAGAATAAAATAAATATCCATGAGCCCATACTGTTATAAATGAATAAGTGAATGAATGCATGTATAAACTAATAAGTAAATGAATGAGAAGGGACAACTCTTCTTTACAGAAGAATTCCAATGGATTCATCTGGAGGAAATGGTAGAAATAGAAAATCACAATTAGACAAAAACTATAGGAATAATTCTTGCTTGCAAAAATCATCAAAGGATGCTAAGAAGTGTAAGCAAAAGTATGATGAGAAACAAGATATTTACATAGCCTCAAAGTATCTTCCCAAAAGACACTTATTAATTACAAAATACTTTCTCTGCACAGGAGGAAGCTGGCAGGCTCCACCTTTACCAGGTGTTCAAGGTTAACATCACAAGTAATAAGACAGGTTGATGTCATGTCCCATTAGATGCACTGAAAAGGACACATCAACATCTCTATGTTATTCTTGCCAAGAATGCATAACCCCAATCTAGCCAAGAGAAAACAACACACAAATCCAATTGAGACATATTTCAAAGAATAACTGGCCAGTACTCTTCAAAAGTGTCAATGTCATGAAGTTCAAGGAAAACCAAAGAACTCTCACAGATCACAGAAGACTAAGGAGATGTGACAGCAAAATACCAGAAAAGGAAAACAGTGAGAAAACTGGTGAAATTCAAATAAATTCTGTCATAGATTAGCTAGTAGTATATCAATATTATTTTCTGATGTCAAGAATTGTACCATGGTTATGTAAGGTGTCAACCTTAGGGAAAGCTGGGTGAAGGGTATACAGACTGTACTTTTCTTACTTTTTTTTTTTTTTGTGACTGGTAAGGGGATCGTAACCCTTGGCTTGGTGTCACCCGCACCGTGCTCAGCCAGTGAGCGCACCGGCCATCCCTATATAGGATTCGAACCCGTGGTCTCGGCGCTCCTAGCACCGCACTCTCCCGAGTGAGCCACGGGGTCGGCCCCAGACTGTACTTTTCTTACTTTTTTTTTTTTTTGTGACTGGTAAGGGGATCGTAACCCTTGGCTTGGTGTCACCCGCACCGTGCTCAGCCAGTGAGCGCACCGGCCATCCCTATATAGGATTCGAACCCGTGGTCTCGGCGCTCCTAGCACCGCACTCTCCCGAGTGAGCCACGGGGTCGGCCCCAGACTGTACTTTTCTGTGTATAAAATTATTTCATCACAAGAAGTTAGTATTTTTAAACAATGTCCTGCCTTCTTCCACCACCAGTCAATGCCTCTCACATACACATGGTCCAAATAATTTCCCCAACCTGCACATACCTGAGCTGCTTTCCATACATTTCTCTCACAAGCTGTGACTACTTTCCCCCAAGGAAGCCCCAGAGAAACAGCAGCACAGGTGGATCAGATGACAGCTTCAGGATCAGATGGACTCGGGTTCACACTGCAGCCCCACTGCCTGCTGGCTGAGCCCCCAGGTGTTCCTTTAGCTGACTTCATCAGGACCCACTCCACCTCCTCAGAGAGAGCCTGACCACCTGAGCTAAAGTTCCTTCTCCATGCACAATCCATTTCTCCCACATACCTGGTTTTAGTTCCTAAGGGCAACTATACTCTCCAAAATACTTTTGATTTCCTAAAGAGCATACACAGTCTCTAAAACGTTCTTGCTTCTGTAGCTGTTTCCTGGTATATTTCCTGCCCACCTCCACTCTCCTGCCCCAGAACATGAGCTCCTCCAACTGCCTTATCCAGAGCTGTATCCTCAGCTCCTACCCCAGTGTCAGGCCTGTGATGGCCGCTCAGTCACTGCTACAAAGGCTGACTGTCCCTTTCTCTTTCGTGGTTTCCTTAGTGTTTGGCTCATAGTCTGCCCAGCACAGGACTCAGTAGGCCCTTGATGAGGGATCAATGACTTACTCATAAAACTCTGCAGCCGGTGTGAACTTGTACTTGGAGTACTTGGTGTGGTTGCCCAGCACGGAGCCATTGAGGAGCTTGGGGTCGGTGCAGTTGGGGCTGTTCCAGGCATGGCCACAGTCAGTCCAGGGCAGGTTGAGGGTGAAGGAGCAGAAGAGGTAGTAGAGTGACCAGGCAATGATGACGTTGTAGTAGAAGCCAACATAGAGGGCGATGAGGATCACAGCGTAGCCAACTCCTGGGCAGGGATAGAGGGCTCAGGCAGGGGCTTCCCCAGGCCCAGCCCCAGCCCCAGCACCACCTCTCCTGGGGAGCTGGTTTCAACCACTGCACTTCCCAACCCTAAGCCCACCTCTTTTTCTGTAGCAGATTGTCAGAGCCCCACTCATATTCTGTAGGCACCCACCATCCCTTTGCCTGAGGGCTTTCTCTTGCCACTGGAGCCCCTGTCCCCACATATTGAGCAGGTGGCCTTAATGTCCCCCAGGGAGCAGCCATGTGGGTGTTGGCATATAAGTGTTCCAACTCCCTCACCACTTGGGCAGAATAACGTGGAGGCATGTTTCACATTCACCCCCAGTAGGATTGAGCTCCCTGCTCATGGTGGAACTGACTTGATGACACACCCTAGTGCTTCCTGGGATCTTCTCCCAAATTAACTCCTCACACTTAAATCCTTGTCTCAAGTTTGGTTCCTGGGGGAACCCTGACCGAGCACTCCCTGATCAGCCCAGTGTGTTCTCTGAATCCTAATCTCAACCTCCTGCTTTGTGTGCCAATATCCCGTTCCTGAATGTATCAGAGGCTCTTTTAGGGCTGCTTCTCTGGCTTTTGCCTAGAGTAGACATATTTTTATCCTGCCCAGCATTGCTTTAGGGGATTAGCCTTAAGCAATTCTTAGCCTGTGAGTCTTGGGTGATGCCTCCTTGATCTAGCTGTGGGCACATGATACAGGGCTGGCCAGTCAGAGTGCTGCTTCCCCACAGCCACAGTGAACAGATCACAGATGGACATATGACTCAAGTCAAACCAATGAAAGTTTCCTCTGGGACCTTTAATAAAGCCATGAATATATATATATAAGTGTTTCTTATTTATTTGTTTCCTTTTTGCTTTTGGTCACTGTTAAAATTGGTAGGATTTAAACCTGGTATTGCTTATGGCCATCTTTGTTAGCACTTGAGAAGAATGAACCTGAGACTGATGCTAACATAGAAAAAAGTCAGACCTGAGACAGAGAAAGAGAGAGAGATTCCAGACAACATTATTCAAGCACCTAGATCATGAACCCCTGGACTTTATTGTAATATAAACCAATAAATTCCTTTTACATAAAGCAGGTTTGAGCTGGATTCCTGGAAATTAAACAAAAAAAATACTCACAAATACACATGTCTTATAAGACTCATACCAGCCTGTATCTTCTGTAGGTCTGAGTAAACAGAAGGTACTGAGGAGACACATGCCAGCTGAGAAGAGGCTCATGGGAGTCACACTGGTCCTCACTGTCACCTGGGCCCTTCTCTAACCAGTGCTTGGGAGACACTAACTCTTGCTCCATGCTCCTCTCCCATCTGTATAGGGGCCAAGGAACAGCAGTTGTTACGGCTACTTTTTGCAGATGTGCTCTTAGCCCCAAATGTAAGTAGACTTCATCTTATATCCCAGCTGCAATCAATTAGTTGTGGCTGCTGTATTAAGGATCAGGAGGCAGCTTTCTGGCTGAGCTCAAAAAAGATCCATGATCAATTTGTCATGTCTGCCATGAGAAAATAAGGCAGGAGGATAGTGGTGTATGTGCTTGGTACTTCTGACACTTCTATAAGAATTTCCCATATAGGAAAGCAGACTGTTTCTGGTCACTCAGCTGGTAGAGCCTGGACTAGAACCCAGGTTTCCAGACTTTCTATGCTAATGCTATTCCTGACACACTAAATGCTCTCTGCATAAATGTGTATGGTGGACACTCGACCTTGTCAGTATCTGTGAATCCTACAAGAGAGTTGGTATATCTCAGATCTCACCTTTGGAGCAGATTCCCTGGGGGCAAGAGGGAAGCCTTTTTGAACAATGCTTGACTCCCCCTGAGCCCTTCTTTACCTTTGAAGAATGGGCAGATCTTCCACACCGTGGCTGCCCCTTCCCGATTGTACTGCCCCAGAGCCAGCTCCATGTAAAACAGAGGCATCCCAGCGATGATGAGGAACAGGGTGTACGGGATCAGGAAGGCACCTGGAGGACACAGAGGTAGAGTGTGACCCCTTAGACCCCTGCTCCTCAGAGTGCTTGGATCTGTGTCCACCGGAGCTGCAGGAACCCCATTCTTCTGCTCACCTGGCCATTTCCCAAGGAATGTTCTGTGGCAGGTAAGTGGAGTTACACAGAGCAATTAATACAGATAATTATAACATAATAGTAACTACAGTAGTAGTAATCATCGTCATCATCATGATGAGGGTCTGTGGTCAAATTAGTAAAATCTGGGTTAAGCAAAGCTAAACAGTTTTGTTTCTTTCAGGCTTCTCCTAGGCTTTGATACACAAGTACACTCTATGAAGCACCAAAAGAGGGTCACAGGTGTAGCCTTTACCAAATTTATTCAAACAAAGAACTGTTCCTTTCATGAGTCATCACTCTGGGGAATGCCAGTCTAACCCAAGCCCTTCCTTTTACAGGCAAGAAAGTTGATACGAGAAAGGGAGAGACACTGCCTCAAGTTACATATGACTAGATTTCTAATTTTGCTTATATTGATATCATTTTATGGTTGCACGTGGCTTTTCCACACATGATCTCACTGGATTCTTCTGAGTCTCACAACAGCCCGCAGATGTAATAAGCAGAGTCATTGTGTCCCCTGGGGGCAAACTGGGGGCAGAGAAGGGAGTCGGATTGTTCCTGCTTGTGCGGCTGGTAAGCGAGGGAAGCAGGGAATGCACTCAGGTCTTCCAACCTGTGCGGCTCACCCTGCTGTAGTCAGCTGAAGGTAAATGCTGGAGTGAAGGGGACAGAGATTCAAGCCCCTGACAAGGGAAAATGCCCACTCAGAGTATTTCAGAAACTCAAGGGGGCTCCTAGCAATGAACAGCAACAAATCTCTGGGAGAATTCCTGGTGGAATTAGATACATCTGAGTTCCAGAGACAATTCTCGATATGCGCTGGCCGCCTGGGGTGAGCTTAGCAGGCTCTGACGCTGTGTGCAAAGTGACTCATGGGGTTATTCACCACGTCAGCCCAGGCTGCACGCGTGACCAAAGCAAAATGCCAGCTCCTTTCCAGATGCGGCCAGAGGTGGCCAGGCCAGATCCAGACTCCTCCTGCCATTGGCCTTTGGCTGAGATGCAGTAACCTTGGAAACCAAATACTCTCTGACCCACCCACACCAGGAAAGCAAGGAAAATGAGAAACACTTAAGGATGGTAACATCAGCAATATTAACAACAGATACCAGCAGCTCACACTTGCTGCTCCCTACTGTGTTCCAGGCACTTTCCATGTGATGCCTCACTCGATTGTTACAACAACCTTAACATGCAAAGAATACTTCTATCTCCATTTTACAGATGTGGAAACTGAGGCTCCAAACTAGCAAAGAACTGTGGCAGAGTCACATGGTATCCAGGGTCAAACCCACTCAGCTGCTCAGACTGTCAGTCTCCACTTTCTTCTCGGGGCTTTTTCTCAGGAAGCTCAGGGCTCTGCAGCATGAAGTGGGGGCCCCCGACGCTGCAAGACACACCCAGTCCCCTCTGAGCAGGAGACGGACCAGTAGGACATGATTGCCTCCTACGTATCAAGCAGGGTACTGAGCAATGGACATCTGTGATTCCATTTATACAACCTAGAAACCCTCTGAGGCAGCATTTGCTACACCCATTTTCCAGAGGAGGAAATTGAGGCTTGGAGAAATTAAGTGACTTGACCAAGCTCACCCAGCTTGTAAGTGATGGATCTGGGATTTAGGGCCAGGTCTGCCCGGGTCCAGAGCTCCATAGTTGTTCCCAACACACCCTGAAGATTCTAGAACACTCCAGTCTAGATGAAGATTATAAGTCTGAATAAGGGTCAGGGTGGGTGGTTGTGAAACTGTGGATCAGGGACCAGCTGAGAAACCTGGTCTGTTGGTCACAGGCTGGGCCTACACTCCAGTCCCTGCTCCAGGCTGGACTTCTCTGAAATGGCCATGTAACAACCTTTCTCCCCCTCCTCATTTCTTGCTTTCAATCTCTGCCCTTCTCTCTCTCAAACATAGAGAGAGCTGACCTGGCACCTGAAACCAGGCCTGTCTACAACTGACGGTAATGGTGGTGAATGGAGACAGGCAGTGGGGTGCAGAAAGTAACAAGTGCTATTTTTTAAGCACCTGTTATATGCCAAGCCACGCACAAGTTTTTACATAATTATTCATTTAAAATGACCCCTGAGAGATAATCACCGCTAATACCATTTCACAGATGAGGAAACCGAGGCTTAGAAAGTTCAAGTGGCTTGTCCAAACTAGTAAGTATGAAGCCTGGCTTCAAACCTGGATCTGTCTGAGCCCCACTCTGCCTTATAGCGGACTGCTACTCCCCTTGGGAGCCTGGATCGGGGTGGAGGGGCCACAGGGGTAGGACGTATTACACTGTTTAATAGGCCTGAAGACTGAAGTCAGTGGCCCAAGAGAACAGCGGGGAGGAAAAAGCCAGGAGCCACAGCTCAAATCTTGGCACTGTGGTTTGCCACTGGCAACTTGATGTTCTTTCCTACATGGCCAAGGAAGGGAACGTGTAACAACAGCCAATTAACCAGGTGCCTCGCTTTGGCCAGTTTCTTGGCTCTAAACCTCTGGGTGGCACTGCTAACAGGTAGGTAAGTTGCCCAGTTTGAGATTCATATCCTCTCTGCTAGCTGGTAGTCACAGCAAAGGGACAGCAGAAGGGACAATGGCAGATCTGCTGGAGCCCGCGGCTCTTCTCCATGAGGGTGTTTGATGTAGGCCAGGTGAAAACTGATCCAGGAGTCTCAATGATGGCGAAATGGCTGAGCATGAATGAAAATCAGAAAGCTGCCCAGTGGGGCCGGCCCCGTGGCTCACTCGGGAGAGTGTGGCGCTGGTAGTGCCAAGGCTGCGGGTTTGGGTCCTGTATGGAGATGGCCGGTGCACTCACTGGCTGAGCATGGTGCAGACAACACCATGCTGAGGGTTGCGCTCCCCTTACTGGTCAGAAAAAAAAAAAAAAAGCTGCCCAGTGGCCAGTGCCTTATTCCATGAGAGGACATCAACCAGCTAGCTGGCTAGCTGGCTCAAGCACCCTGGCAGAAAGAAACCAGGGCAGGGCTGAAGAGTCAGAAGGGGTTGCAGGGGTGACAGAAGTCAGTGGAGGATGCCTCTTTTATAAACAGTCCTGCGGCAGCTCCTTGGAAACTGAGGCTGGTGGCAAATCTCCTAGAAGTGACTGCCCTGCAAGGCCTATAACTGCTACATTCGCATGGCCCCGCTACATCTCCACATGTGGCAGTACTAGCTGCCACAAGCCTTACACAGGGCCTGGGAGTCTCAGGTGTCACAGCTCAGAATCCTGTCTTGGCTCTGCAATGCTCTGGCTCTGTAGGTGCTGGGAAGGTGGGGGCAGACCTGGAAAAATACAGGCTGGGCATACCTCATGGGGCTCAGCTCCTGGGAGTCTCCAAAACCAGATGTATGTACACAAATGCACACCTGTGCATACCACACAAAGGAACACACCTCCTTCTGCACATCAACACGCACACATAACTATACAAGGAAAAGAACTGCAACTGTGAAAGGGACTCTGACCAGTGGCCTTTGGATAAATTTAGTAAGGAAAGCATTTGTCCCACCTCTTCCAGTCCAATTTACACTGCCAGACATCCTACCATTAGAGAAGACCCCTCTGGTCTCAGAGGGGTTCTGGGATCCTCTGTGCAAATGCCAAGTCCTCAGGAAGAGAAGCCCTGTGGTCACTAAGTTCAGAGTGGGATGTGCTGGTGCAGCCCCCAGCAGGTGAGGAAGACCTCAGGAAGAGAGAGAGGAAGCCTGTGGGAGGGGGTGGAGGGAGTGTAGTCAGGGAGGGGCTGCAGGAAGGAGAGGAGGGTCCTCTGAGGTGTGATAGGACCAGCTGCCCAGTGTGCTCAGGGCAGGATTCCTCAAACTGAATTCTGGCCACACACTAATAGGACTATATCCAAGAAGTAAAAATCCGCAAAACTGTTCCCTTGGTGCCCGTGGCTCAGCTATGGACCATCACCACCTATGGCTTTCACGAAAATCACAAGAAAACCTTGGTCCATGCCTGGAGTGGCCAGATTTGTCCCCCTCTTCCAACACCCTAAAGGCATGGTACATAGAGTGCAAGAGAGGGCAAGACATCAGTCAGGATACAGGGCTGCCTGCAGCAGACCCCAACACTTGCAGGGCTGGGACAGGAGCTCAGGTGGAGGTCTACCGGCCTCATGTCGACATTTAAAGATGACAAAAAGAGCCACAACTTTGAAATAAAACATGATCTGTCTTCCTACTTTCACAAAGAGACCTCAGTAATGGTTCTATTACGAAGTTCAAGTTTGGAATCCTCAGCTCTTAGAGTTATGGGTTGGAATGTGGCGGCACAGGGAGGCCCGTTTGCCCTGCCCCTTCTTTCCCACACAGCTCCATCCAGCCACGTGAGAGGCCTTGTGCACACACACATGGACTCTTCCCCCCTCGTGTCTATGCTCCATCCACAGCCCCTGCAGGCAGCAGACCCCAGCCTCCCCTCGGGCCTGGGGCTGTGCATGCCTGCAGCTCAGTCTACATTATGAATGATAGAGGGAAACAAGCGAGAAGCCCCAGCAGGCCTGGAAGGGGACTTGGAGCTGTTTGGGCAGGGAATTCCAGAGTCCGGGTACCTGGAATGTGGCATGTGCGTATTGGGGGGCAGTGTTCTGGGTGGGTAGGTCCGCTTGGCCCTGGCCCTGGTAAGAGGAGGGCAGAAGTGTGCTCTCTAAAGCACAGGCCCTAAGGCAGGCCCCCTTGCCTGGATCTAAGGACGATCCTGGATCCCCCAGTCCTGCTATTTATGTCTATGTGACCTTGGGTCGATGTACCCTCTCTGAACCTTAGCTCCACCTTTGTAAGTGAGGACAATAATACCATGTCACTGGTTTGCGGTGATAATTAGAGGTATTGGAGATGAAGGATGGTGCATTTTGTGGGGGCTCTGGAAATGGGATTCACGTCCTGTCCGCA